TTATAAAAAGAACATTGCGCCACATGAGAATGGCATGCCGCTGCGCCATGCTTAATACTCAAGGAAAAAACTACTTCTATGATACAGTGTAGAATGAAATCTGGCAGATATTAATTGAGAGATACCGCGATTCGAAGATTGCAGCCATGGCCGGAACCAAACTTACAGCAAAATCCGGAACCAATATTATGATTTTAAGGTTCCGGCCGGAACGCGAAGTATCCGGAACGTAAATTATGCGACACCGTCTGACTCTCTGCCTGTAAACTTAATTTTCACATATTCAACTTATTCTCAAGAATCCCTCGGCCAGTCTCAACCAAACTTGCCACAAAGCATCATTGGGTGGAGGTGATTCAAATTTGTTTGAATAAAGGTTCACACCCTATTTCAAGGGGATATACATGTACTTAAGAATAAGTTAAATTTTGGTGGCTTCTTTTAACCAGAAGTCTCTGATGAGACTGTGGCTCTACTGGTCTGTACGTATAACAAAGGAAAAGTAGCATTTGGATTTGAAACTTTGCAACATGCAGCAATAAATAGAATTAAGTATCTTAATGTAGCGTTTTGAAAGTATTTCACAGAAATTTCTATTTTTAGTAACCATGGCAACACCATTCACTGAAATCAAAAACCGATATACACTTTTATGTATCCTAGTGTAGTCTAACTGTGTGCCAAATAAGATTGAAATCAGACCAAAACTGTAGGAGGAGTAATGTTTTAAAGGAATTTTACAGAAATTTCTATTTTTAGTAACCATGGCAAAACCATTCATCAAAATCAAACACCAATTCATCAGATTATGTATCTTAGTATAGTCTAATTGTGTGCCAAGTTATATTAAAATCAGACCAAAACTGTAGGAGGAGTAACGTTTTAAAGTAATTTCACAGATATTTCTATTTTTAGAAACCATGGCAACACCGTTCATCGAAATCAAAAACCGATGCACTAAATATAATCATCTTAGTGTAGTCTACTTGTGTGCTTAAGTTATACTGAAATCAGACCAAAACTAGGAGGAGTAGCGTTTTAAATGAATTTTATAGAAATTTCTATTTTTAGCAACCATGGCAACACCGTTCATCGAAATCAAAAACCGATGCACTTAATTATATATCTTAGTGTAGTCTATTTATATTGAAATCACACCAAAACTGTTGGAGGAGTAGCGTTTTAAATGAATTTCAAAGAAATTTCTATTTTTGGTAATTATGGCAATACCGTTCATTGAAATCAAAAAACCAATGCACTAAATTATGTATCTTAGTGTAGTCTACTTGTGTGCTAAGTTATATTGAAATCAGACAAAAACTGAAGGAGGAGTAGTGTTTAAAAATTGTTTACAGACAGACGGACAGACAGACATCAGACAGACAGGCGGACACATTACTATTGCATAAGCTCTTCTGGTCTCTGACCAGTAGAGCTAAAAATCTCAAGAACCAGTGGGCCAAAAAAGAAACTTATTTGAAAGCTTCATAGCATAGTGTATATTCAAGTTTGTTCAAATCACGATCCATCGGGAGTTCGTTTGGGCCCCAGTTGGAGATCAATTTTTTTTTTTACATTGAAATATAACCTACATGTAGCATTAGGGGAAAATATTTTAAAAATCTTCTCAAGAAGAGCAAAGTCAGGGCCATTCACACTAATATGGAAATATCCTCAGGTAGTTTACATTCAATTTTGTTAAAATTATGATCAGGGATAGGGTGGGGCCACAATAGGAGATCAAAGTTTAACATAGGATTATATAGGAAAAAATGTTTAAAAATCCTCCTCTATAGAAGAGCAAAAGCCTTATTAGTCATGTTAATATGCAAGCATCATCGGGGTAGTTTGGATTCAAGTTTGTTTAGATCACCCCCCCCCCCCGTTATTAAGCTGAGAATACAAAAGAGGATCAGAGTTATACAAGGGAATATGTAGTAACAAGGCCACATTATCATATTAATAAGCAAAACATTCTAAGATGTATGGATTTTTTTTTTTAAATAATAAACTCTGGAGTAAGGGTTAGGCTAAATTCAGAGGTCCAAATTCTACAACATAAATGATTACTGGAGAAAAAAACCCAGAACAGCAGGGCCATTTTAGTCATATTGATACTGAAGCATCCCAATGATTGATTTTGATTAAATCAGAGCCCACTTAGTGCTAGGTTTTTGTTAACAACAAAAGTCAAAATCTCTTTGGAATAAAAGAGGGAAAATTTTTAAAACAGTCTTACTGACAACGAACAGTGGGGCCATAATGACTCAGGTGAGCGTTGTGGTTCGTAGAATTTTTGGTCAGTGTCAGTTTTAAAAAGCTCATTTCTTAGAAAAATATTTTATTTCATGAAATCTTGAGGGCTTTTGTGATCCATGGGGGATTTTTGAACAGAGTGGAATCTAACTAAATGAGGATGCTAACAAGCCTAGGCTTTAAGTTGCTGTTTCTAAAAGTCATCCCCATATAAAAGTGAAACCAAGACAGGGACCTAATTCTGGACCATATGTATAAATTTAATAAACATAAATGTACATGTAGAGTTGATAAAGTTTCTTTCAAACAGTTTTGACAAATTGCGTCTTTCTTGATTTTTTTTAGATAATTAGGAGTTTTCTCGATTTTATTTTCATATAATCCTAATAATTTTTGTGTACGAACCTACACTGTGGCTCCACAGAGATCCCGGAAATCGTGAAGGAACGGATTTGAATTTACAACCCTAAAGAATTGTTTGATATAAGTTTTCATACGAAGTTATCTTTTATTATGCATCCACCTTATCTCCAATGATCAAAATTTAAAAATAAAGTTTTATTTAAAAATGAACTTAACAAGCAGTGGCCTATCTGTTCTTCTTGAACAGAGGATTTCGAAGAATTTCTACTATTTTATTTTCATATATACAAAACACTGAACCACTGAACACTTAGTGACGCGACAACTTCGTCTCTATAGGGCCTTGGATTAAAAAAAAAATGCTCAAATATTCTATAGAAAATTTCGTCAGAAAAACTGACCGATTTATTCTTTAGATGAAGACTTAAACGGAATCTTATTTTCACTAGTTTTTAATTACCTTCTCAAAAGACCGTTATCCTTCATTGTTCTCACCCACGAGAAAAAATCAGAAATGAAAAAAAAAATGTTAACAGAAGGATATCAGATGGGCAACAAACAATATTAGAAAATAACAAGATGTGTTTGTGAAACACTGATGCCCCCGTATGGCAGCTTATGGCGAAGGTTAAAGTTTCTCAAATGCAAGTCAAAATCCAGGCCAAAAGATAAAAAATGTTGATACCCAAAGAAAGATCTTGTCTCGAGGAATACACCTGTGAAATTTGAAAGACCTAGATACAACTGCTCAAAGGTTATGGCGAAGGTTAAAGTTTTTTAAATAAAAGTCAAGGTCAAGGTCAAAGTGGTTGGTATCCAAAGGAAGGTCTTGTCAGAAGGATTACATATGTGAATTATGAAAGCCCTAGCACCAACCATTCAAAAGTTATGGCCAAGGTTAAAGTTTTTCAAAAGTAGGTCAAACTCCTAGGTCAAGGTCAAAGGGTCAAAGTGGTTGGTATCCAAAGGAAGGTCTTGTCACAAGGATTACATATGTGAATTATGAAAGCCCTAGCACCATCCATTCAAAAGTTATGGCCAAGGTTAAAGTTTTTCAAAAGTAGGTCAAACTCCTAGGTCAAGGTCAAAAGGTCAAAGTGGTTGGTATTCAAAGGAAGGTCTTGTCACAAGGATTACATATGTGAAGTATGAAAGCCTTAGCACCAACCTTTCGAAAGTTATGGCCAAGGTTTAAGTTTTTCAGAAGTAGGTCAAACTACTAGGTCAAGGTCAAAGGGTCAAAGCGGTTGATATCCAGAGGAAGGTCTTGTCACAAGAAATACACATGTGAAGTTTGAAACCCTAAGCACCAACTGTTCAAAAGTTATGGCCAAGGTTAAAGTTTTTCAAAAGTAGGTCAAACTCCTAGGTCAAGGTCAAAAGGTCAAAGTGGTTGGTATCCAAAGGAAGGCCTTGTCACAAAGAATACACATGTGAAGTTTGAAACCCCAAGCACCAACTGTTCAGAAGTTATGGCCAAGGTTAAAGTCTCATAAAATTTTGCAAAAGTGGGTCAAACTCCAAGGTCAAGGTCAAAAGGTCAAATATGATGGTACCCAAAGAAAGATCTTGTCACAAGGAATACACATGTGAAATATGAAAGTAATTGCTCCAACCAATCAAAAGTTATGGGCAAGGTTAAAGTTGACAACAGACAGACAGACAAACAGACAAACGGACAAACAGATAAACAGACAAACAGACAGACAGGACAAAAACAATATACCCCCGGGATCTTTCGATCCGGGGGCATAAAAATACTTGAACTTTCAGGTCAGCTAAGCTTTTAACAAAAAACGGATGTCGTTTTTTCTGCTTTGTGTATTCAATCTGCATTTTCTTGCGGCTATTGCACTTTTTCCGATGATCATACTTGAAGATCTAACAATTTAAAATACTTCTTTGTAAATATGTAAAAGAGGTAAACCAAGGCCGTTATCAATTAAGAGTCCCAAAACACGCAACACACCACCACTGGAAGAAGAATTCCACACCGGATTTTAAACAAATTTCCATTGATTGTAAACTGGCTATGACCCTATAAGGGCATTATATCTGCCTGTTCTCTATTCACACGACGTCAACTGCAAGATTCTAATGCTATTAAGATGTAAAGATAACTATAATATCTTGTTTACAATCGTTGTCCTGTTTTCGAATATTTAATGGTGAATTTTTAAGTTTTGGGGACAACGAACCTAAAAATTACAAATTTTGCATAAGGAAGATTGCATCTAAATTATGGTAATTGCTATGACAGTTTATCTATAGAAAAAGTCTATTCAACATTTTCGAAATTATTACGGCAACAGTATGATTTAGCTAGAATATGAATTTGAATTTGCTTCAAATGTTATTAAAATAAGAAGGTTTTGTTTCAGAGTTGGAATTTTTATGTAAAGAGAAAATATGAAGAATGCCAAGAAGTTTCTGCTTTGTTTGTTGGTTCGGCTAAAGTTTGTTGTCGCAATAGTTGGTAAGTCTCGAATGTTGTTTTTCTTCTAATTATCAAGCAATGATTCTACAACAGTTTGTGAAATACTTAAAAGTGCTCCTTTAAAGAAACATAAAGTTATTGAATCATAAAGGACCATTAACCATCAAACAACGACTCTACGTCTTTAAAGAAACGTGAAGTTACTAAACCAACTTTAATTGGTTGATAGGAGTACATCTTCTCTTATCTGCTTTCCCTGATGTTTAGGGAATCTTGGTAATGCTTTTGATAAAGAAAATGCACTTTCTGTTCGTACATTTACGATTTTGAGTCAAAAGTTAGAATATTTATTTAAAAAAAAAATATGTTTTATAATAAACGGTAGACATCCTCTGCAGATTTGTCAGTGTTTATATAACCTTTAACCCACAAGGCAAAAATCAAAGACGGGAAATCGATCGTCAAAATCAATTATTTATCAAATCAAATCTACACTTTGGACAAATCTGGACTTTACGCAGATTAGATGTCATCCGTCAAAAGATTTTTTCCCTATTGATTCCGATACACAGGGAGGCATGGTTTGGACTTGTTAAGGCTTCATCACGCTAGATTAAGCGGGTCTTTCTGACGACCATAACGTCACATTTGTCTTCATTAGGTCGATCGTCTGCCGCTCTGAAAGAGATCGTCTGGTCATCTATTCATTCGGACCAAAATCAATCGTAAAATTGTTTCTATTAGTTTATATGGCCTTTGAGAACTTATGATTAAGTTTTCGCTAGACTGCTAACCAGTCAAAAATCTAAAGGGAATAGCTACCAGTATATTTGTATTCACTTCCACAAATGAAAATGAAAATATCTCTATTCAATGCAATAATTTTAGCAGGCTAAGATTTTCTAACAAAGATAACGATTAAATTGCACCGTCAAAGTCCCACAAAACATTATCACACACGCTAATATAATTAATTACTTAATCGGCAAAGGTATAAAATATTGCACATAAAAATTGTGACGGTTAATTGTTATGATTATGTTTAATGGTGCCACGGCATCAAAGAAGAAGATAAACGCAGGTTTTACATGTAATTGATGAATGATTCACAAATCAAAAATCCACAAACATTCCGATTTAAAGATACAATCGATTTTTAAACAAAAAAAGTTATGAATGTGTCCTTTCTGACACATTCTATTTTGTCTATTCAAATCTGCAAATAGTTAAACATGAATATCTGCAAATACAGTCAACAGTCATATTGCAGATTTTAATTGACAACATAAGATATGTCAGAAAGGACAAAGTAAACTGTTTCATTTCTTAGAGATTTTGTGAAAATCCATGTATTTGATACATTTTAAGAACAATATACGTGTAATGACAGAAAACTTTTGAAGAAGGAATGCTAAAGTCCCATTTTAATTATGCACTATATCAACTTATGAATTAAAGGATATGTTTTATATACTGATAAATTTTCAATAGCATTTAGATTAAATTCGACACCTTTTGGCAAAACTGTCTATATTTCAGCTCTTAGTTCATGTTTTACAAGTATTTGAACTTTGTAGATCCATGTGCTTTTTCCGGACAATTTGAATACGACTTTTTCATAGCAGGAATACCAGAAAACCAACCAGTGGGTAAGTTAACTGTGTTATTCAAGTGTCATTCCATAAATTTTATTCAAAATTAAATTTTGATAGGCAAGAGGGCGTACAAGACCACTAGGACAATCCCACGCTCTAAGACAATATATTTCTAAATTTTTAGAGTTCATGGAAAAGTTAATTTTTCAAAAATACGGTGTCAGTAAGATCACCTTTCACACATTTGATTCATTTATTTTATTGAATAACTTTTTGATTGATAATTTGTCTTTTGAAGTTGACAGTCAGCATATACAGTAGAAAATGGGAATTTTGGACCCGTAAAAATGAATATGAATGGACCAAATTTTCATTCTACATTAACTTTTAAATGTCGGAAAAATAAATGTGAAATCTATCTTTAAATGAAGTCTGAGTCCATTATATATGAAAATCGAATATTTCTGGGAAATTCAACAATTAAACTCGTTCATTGAAACCACATTGACTTAGTGGTTGACACGTTGAACACTGCAGTTTACCGTGATCTTTGGAGAGAGTTCGAATCATAGGTGAGACTCCACATACCATAGAAATGATAGAAAAATGAATTCCTCGCAGTAAGTATTTCAATGAAATAAAGGAATCAAATACACAAAAGATGATTTTGAAAACACAATTTTTGAAAAATGTAACTTTTCCATGTACATTTATAATAAAGAAATATCTTGTCTCAGAGTAGAGGATTGTCCTCGCCTTATGCGCCTCAATTCTTTGTGGAAAGACACAAGACATTTAGCCTGTGTAAAAAATGTATATGAGGATTTTTCTAGTTGAAAATTAAACCTTAATCGTTGTTTAAGAATTACCAGGGTATTGTTCGTATCTTTCAATTTATTGCATGTCGGCTCGAAATTCAAAACAATGCATGAATAGAACATAATGTACACCAAATATACTCAGGGAACAATACTATTTAAAGAGTCTTCTGCAACTCATAAACGTGATTATCCAACAGTGTCACTAATCATTCCAAGCCTTTAATAAATGTAGACATCAGTTAAATTTACAAAACCGTGTTAAACAGCTGCTTTTAAACAGATATTGTCCATAATTTTATCTTTTTGACAATGGAAGACAAGCTAAATATATGTATGATTGATGTAAATTAAAATTATTTTCTCGAGAAAGTTCTCTCATTTTTTAATGACACACACACGGGGGTATCATGCACTGCACGAGATTGAGAGGTTTTATTTCTTTAAAATTTTGGTAAAGGGGGGAAAGAAGGAAAAAAACCAAAATAGTTAACCTCAATGTTTTCTTGCTCTATTGTGCAAATATGCACAATGCTTCTGTTCTGTATCCAACATTTATATTATTTTCAGGGTCCATAATAGGAATACTGCCTCTTACCGGAGGCCAGGATGAGGTCAGTCTGACCCAGACCTCGAATCCTTACCTTCATCTTGACGTAGATTCCCGAAACATATCTCTCATAAAGGAGCTTGACACGGACAAAGACGATAATGGCGCCAAATTGATGTCCGATGTTATCCTACAAGTCATCTGTGTACCGAAGGGTACCACGAGAAAAGTAAGGGTAAAAGCTCTCTCAGACATGTGAAATTTGTGATTTTCCTTACAGATATTTTTTAAGAAAAAGATACATGAAAAAAAAAACGCCGCACTTCTTAATTTTTATGGCATTTACATGTATCTATAAACGTTATATATATATTGTCTTGTATTTATTTGTCTTCTTGCGCAATGAAATAGCAGAATATTTCACTGTAAGTGCAGACTGTGTACCAATCCACTGATCTGCTCATATACTGTTATTATAATTAAATTGATATATTTTTTCACAAAGAAAAATTATTGGATAATGATACTAGTATCATTTGAATGCTTGAAACCTTAAATATACAGATTAATAGGTATAGAAAATGTATAAAACAAGTGTAAATCTTAACACAAAACGAGCTTAATGCCTAATTAAATGTGAGGTATAACTGAAAAGGAGGGAGGCAAGCACCAGTATACAAATTCTTGTACATATGTCTCCTTTTGTTTTAAAAAAAAAAAATATGAACATATTTTTCAGAGTTCACTTACAGTCAGAGTTCTGATAGAAGACGTCAATGAACACAGACCAACATTTCCCAAAAATCACTACATCATAGATTTACCAGAGGTAAAATTCACAATCATAGATTTACCAGAGGTAAAATTCACAGAGGTAAAATTCACAATCATAGATTTACCAGAGGTAAAATTCACAATCATAGATTTACCAGAGGTAAAACTCACTACATCATAGATTTACCAGATGTATACTTACCTAGCAAACATCTATAGCATAAAGATACAAAATCAAAACACTAACAAGAAATTATGTGCAATAAAGCACGAAAATAATTGAAATTCTGTCATTGCTATTCATTCATTTTGAATTGTTCCCCTTTCTTCCTTACATAGGACACCCCAGTAGAAACTGTTGTGTTTAATCAGGTCAGAGTGACAGATAAGGATGGATCGGGCTCGGGAAATGATCTTATCCATTTCAGCATACTCCCTGGTTCCTATTCGGTATACACCTATTCATCTGTTACCTTTCTTCTGTAAAATCTATACGTAATAGTTAGAGGTTGGGGATACGTCATAAAAACGTTAAATATACAATTATATTTAATTTTACAGGAGTATTTTGATATACATATCTTGAGAACTGAGGTCACGTTGAAAAAACAGCTCGATTATGAGACAGTACATTCCATGACAATAGAAATAGAGGCGAAGGTGAGAAAAAGTCTTGGATGATTATCTTTAGCTTTGTATACCAACCTATCAATACAGATCATCAGTATTGTTAGATCAGTTTGTTCATCAGTAAAATAAATGTACTGAAATTGTTTAACCCACACACGTCCTCAAAAAAAAATACTGGATTAAAAATTCCATTTTGTGTTTTAAAATGATATGCTCTTAATTTTTTGTGTTTATTCCGACAGGATGTACTTGACAAAAATTATGGAGTCATGATTTATAGATTTTCGAGTATTTAGTACATGTAACATTTAAAGGTGCTTGGACACAGATTTGAAGTTAACATTTTCTCAAATTTTCTGTATAATTTCATGACTTATATGTTGCTATAGCATTTCATACTAAAATATAATAAAAATCTTATTTCATCTCGAAGTTATTAAAACTTCGAATTTCTGGACGCGTTGGATTGACACATCCTTGCGCTTTCGCATATTTTAATTTTATTCTTAATACTTAAGAAAAGTGGCAATTTTGTTGTGTATTAATGAAAAATATTAAAACTATTACCCAGAAAATTCAGAGTAGAAATGTTCGAAAGCAAAACCCACTCACAGTATTGTAAGTCCGTGCTCAGTGGTGTGTGCAGAGTTTAACAATTGAACACACCTGGTGAATCGTAAACATTAACAATAACAGAGCTCGTGCCTTGTTTACAAAAACAGTTTACGTTTCACGGGTGTGTTCAATTTGTTAAACTCTGTACACATCACAGAGCACGGACTCACAATACTGGTGAGTTGGTTTTGCTTTCGAACATTTCTACTCTGAATTTTCTGGATTACAGATGTAATATTTTTCATTAATACATAACAAAATCGCTTCTTTTCTTAAATATTAAGGATAAAATTAAAATTTGTGTAAGTGCAAAGATGTGTTAATCAAACGCGTCCCGGAATTCGTAGTTCCAATAATTTCCAGATAAAATAAGTTTTTAATTATATTTTCGTGTGAAATGCTATTGCAATATATAAGTCGTGATATTATACAGAAAATTTGAGAAAATATTAAGTTCAAATCTGTGTCTAAGCACCTTTAAAGCAAATTTTAGAATATTTTCCTACAATTCACACTAATGGCATTTGCACAGAGAAAAGTTAATCCTGTGTTACAGGTTCTTACTTGACAATGTTACTTCTACATGTACATGTACATGATGTGTTTTTTTTTCTACCTGTAAGGATAATCCACAAAAAGGTGAACCTCTCAGCTCTAAAGCCGTCCTCACTTTTAACATACTGGATGTAGATGACCTCAATCCGACCTTCACACATGACACCTATTCTGTTAGAATGGACGCAGACACTCTCCCTGTAAATAAGAATTCCCTTTTATTGTATTCAGATATCACACTATCTACTTAATTAATATCTGGTATATTCGTTTGAAAAAAGTAACAAAAATAAATAAATATTTCATTATGAACACGTATAAATCTTTGTGTTTCTGTTAGGGTAGCTTAGTTCCAGTAATGCCTCCTATTAGAGCCTACGATGGAGACAGTTTGAACGCTTCCTTAAAATATGAACTTGTTGGTAAGTAACGGACATATTAACTTGATTTGGGAAAAGTCAAACTGAACTTACATCAAATCTATAAACAAATCTGTTTGATTAAGAATATCATGTAAATGATTTTTGCTACAAATTATATAAGTATTCCTAATTTCTTTTCAGATCCGCAGAACCGCTTTGTTATAGACACCACGACTGCCGATGTAAGCGTCAATGCTAAACTATCGGACGGGAAATCAACTCTAGTTTTAAAGGTCTATAATTTGACTAAATTGTCTTACCTTTATTTCAAAGTTCTTACAGAGAAATGGGTTGAGACTTGTTTTAAGTGGAGCAATTTCCAATATGCCAACATGAAAATAAAAACATGCTAAAATCATCCGAAAATTAAAAAAGAAATATTTGGAATAGCAAGAGAGTGAAATCAAACTCATAATTTAGGACCAGGCTTTTTGACATCATAGAAAATTAACTGCTTCTTCTATAAAAATGGAACTCGTAAATTTTCATATAGATCTTGTGATTGGTTATCTACAAAAAGTACTTTGTTAAAAATTATTCTGATTCTACACACAAATACTATGAAGATGTTATTAAAAAGATGCTGGAGTTTCTTATTATAATATCTATGTTATGCAGTCTTTGGAGACCAATTATTTTAACAATCTGTCGGAATTTCAATTAGCCCTTTATTGTGCTCCTTTATTAGCTGACTGTTTTCATATTCTTTAAAGCATAATTTGTTAAAAAACAGCTTTTACATGAAAAGAACAGAACTCTCGCTGTGGCTTTCAATTCAACATTTAGATGTATCGACGACATTTTATCAAGTAACAATAGTTGGTTTTATTCATGAATGTCAACTTGATATACAATTGACATGTACATGTATCCTAGTGAACTCGAAATAGAAACCACAGAGCCCCCTTGCCTCTGTTTCATGCTTGAATGTTTTACTGACTCTACAATGGAGAAGATTAACAACTAAATTAAAGACAGCAGGATGAGTTCAGCTTTTCCTATTGAACTTTTCAACTTTCCCTATTGATGTAGTAAAATTCCGCAATTACCTGTATATAGTAATGATTCAGTAAGAAGTTAAGTTTTTAACGATATGTATCTCGTTTAAAATCAGCATTTTGTAAATTTTCTGGTTGTTATATAATGATCTTGCAAACACAACCTATCTTAGTAGTATTGAAACTGACATGTTTCCAACTAATTGTTAGCCCATTGCTTTTATATCAATTTTACAATGGAATACCCCGTTTTCCTGATAAACACAGCGGATTCACGGCGGGTCTGACCAATCAACAGGGGATGCTTAGTTCTCCTAGGCGCACCTGATCTCTGGTGTTTCCAGGAGTCCTTTTTTCTTTTTTCTTTTTTTATAAAAAAGCCTTATTCGTATACTTTTCTGGATATATGAGATTGATCACTGTTCGCTATCTTCACCTTTTACTTTATATAAATGTACGTGTGTATATCAAATTTGCTGTTTTAGGCAACACAAAGAGATAATCCTATAAGACAGGGCATAGCATTGCTACAGCTTACCATCATCGGTCAAGGTAACAGTTTGGGACCTTCTTTTGCCCAGCCTCGTTATCATGCTAGTGTATCTGAAAACGAGGCTGTAGGAACAACTGTAATCACTATCACGGTTACAGACCACAATCAGGTATACGGGAACATCAAAGTCATCAACATTTTTCCTATTGAATTGTAACGTTATTAACCGAGAATAAATTGTCATATAAATGTTATTTTTAAATTTTGTACCTTTTAGTGGACGTCGTTACGTTACTCCATTGGAATACAGGCAACACACTTCACTGTCAATAATAAGTAAGCAACTCTAAAATTAATCTTGATACAACATGAGGTTTACATTAGTATTAAACACAATGATAACTTTAATTGTCTGATTAAATCAAATGCATTAACAAAATTAATATTGTCTTTTAGATAAGCCTGTATTATTCATTTGATCATATATATGTTTGCAGTGGTGATATCATACTTAAAAAGAAAGTTGATTATGAAGAACAAAGCCAGTTTGTCTTCAATTTAACGGCTGCGGATGAGTTCTATGTGAGTAGTTATGTCTCCTAACATCACTGGTGAAAAATATATATCTATAATTCAATTTGTGAAATATTCATATATTTTTGGCAGTCGGCTTGGACAACAATAACAATTACGGTAACCAATGTCAACGATAATGGACCACAAATATCGGAAAGGGAGATAACCGTGAATGCTGAGAGGGTAAAAGGATCTCAGATAACCATTATAAAGGTAACAAATTTGAAGCCATATTCAATATTTATTTTTTTGTGATATTCTTATGTCCGCTTTTCGCTCTGTTTTCCCATAATTTGAAAATGCATGTGCCTCTCTTTAAATTGAAGTACATGCATGTACAAAGCAATTACCTAAGTCCACTTCTCTCAATGTAGCCCTGGTCTTCATTAGGCTACAATTATAATGTATTGTTGAATGTAAATGATAAAAGTCATATCGACTTTAATATTCTTAGAATTACATGTAAAAATATATTAAATTTAATTCACCATTAGAGAAAGTTACACTCTTGAATGTTTACATTGTTTTATTTTTTGCGTGTTCACAAATAAGAGTAGAGGCCTTCCAAATCAATACAATTATGTCCTATCACGAAGAGGTTAAATTATACGGCGATTTTTGTATGTTTGATCAGGGGGTACCTCTTTTGATCCGTAGCTTTGTTCTCATTGTAGGCCGTGGACAAAGATCCAAACACATCACTGACGTTTTCAGTCGTAACCCATAAAAGGTAACATAACTATTTTGATAGTAACTAAGTATATAATTTCATATAAATCATAGTATTATCAAAAAAGAGTTTGTGCTACTATAAAATTTTGTTTTGTATAGTTTTTCTTGCTTTATACTATGAAACTTTCATTTTGATTGTTACATCCACTCAAACTCACCGAGAGAATAACATGACAAAACGACAATTTGATTATCTGTGTTTTTCTAATGTTCTTTTTTCTGCTTCTTTTGTGGTTTTATTGATGTACTGTTCATTTAATTTAAAGAAGAAGAATATAATTAAAGTTTAACAATATTTAACAATATTTTTCTTTCCGTCCAATTTTACATGTACCAAATAACATGAGCATTAATATGTGTTATATAATTTGTAACTTCAGTATTGTTTTGACTTGTGTGTAACTTTTAAAAATGAGAATTTATTGATAAAAGGAGTAAAAATAATTCATTTTATTAAGAATTTGTGTTATAATGTGTTTACACTTCAGGATGAATAAAACCGTGAATGACAAGGAAAGGTCACAAGGAATTCTATTGGTCAGGGTGTTGCAAATTAATTCAGCAACACGCACACCGGTGTTTGCATAATTTGTTCATGATTAAGCTAGATTGATAATACACTCAACCAAATTGAGTTGCCTTTCTTAATGGAGGGTTTTATGAAAACTCTTTTTTTCATGTCAATTTCTTTCTTTCTTTTAAAGAACAATTGACATAAGATAACAATTTGAAAGTCATTGCCTAAAAAATTTTTAGATGGTTTTTAATAAATTATTTTTATACAGAAACTTGCATAGCTTATAAAACTCATGTATTTTTTTTTCAGCCTGTTTGCTGTATCACAGGAAGGGGTCGTTTCACTTACAGGAAGTGAGAATGACTATGTAAGGGATGAATACGTCGTTGTGATAAGTGTCAAAGATAACGGATCTCCCCAGCTTGAATCTGTTGCCGTGGTAACAGTCGCCTTTCCAGCTAGAGTTATAAAGGATACCAGAGCTCTGGACATGGCCTCTAGCAATGATCTCGTTGCGATAATTTTAGGAATTGTAGCAGCCATACTTCTATTTGTCATAATATTTCTTATCATATACATCATCCGCAGGTATTATATTTGACTATTTCATTAAAAAAACATGTTGCATCTCTTCCCATATTAACATTCTATTTAATATCGATTTTAATTTTTTATATATATAATATTTGTGGAAATACATGTATGGGGGTTGATATAGAAGTAATGTGCTACGAAATCGAAAGAAATAGGAAGTGAACAACACAATTTCATATGATAATACCTTAATGTTTTGTGACTAGCAGGTATATATAATACTTTTAAAAATATAATAATAAGCAGAAAGTTTGGTTGCATATTTCGCCACACTACAACAAGGACGTGTTTATGACCTACTTTATGGACTCCATTTAGTAAGTCCATAAAGTTATGAATTCAAAATATTTCACTAGCATTGTCATTTACATCTTTTTCATATTTACTACCAACGTGCGCCTTTTTACTTAATTGTTTTATTAAAATAGCATTTTAACGGTTCCAAAGAGCCTGCTTTGCGCAAGTGTTCTGGTGTAGATGACGTTAAAGGCTGACGGATTCTCCACTCACTTTCTTCTTTGCTTTAATCCATGTATTTTTTGACCTTCTTTAAAATTACAAAGATATTTTTAGTCACTTTTTATATCAATAAATGTGAAAATATATGACGTCATGTTGTGGCGTTTAATCAGGTATCAACCTTTCCCTCTTGTTACCTAATAGGCAAAAGAGCATTAACTTTTTATTATTTTAGATGATTTGATATTGAATTTTAAAGGTCGACTGTACAAATTAAGAAAAGTAAAGTAAATATAAACGCCTGACTTCCTGTTATATTTACATTTAAGAGGTACGACATATTTCTGCATTTAAATAGGCAACGGTCACAATATATTTTTAGCACTAGTGACATTAGTTTTTTTTTTTCAACCCTCATATATGATAAAACCATTGACTTTAAGGCTAAAAAATTGCATAATTGTTTTCAGACGACAGTTTGTAGAGGAACAACTTGACCGAGCAAAAATACGACAAGGCATGGATCCTCGGGGGTTAACATATCAGCGAGGGGATCCATCCCCGGACCCGTCTTCTAAAATAGACATTAATTTTGACGGTGATTTAGAGGAGGCCTCTGATATAGACAGTCATACTACAATACAACAAAATCCTCTAAATTTTAGACTTCCTGCCGCTCGTCAGAACGGCGAAATACAGATAGAGACTGCTGTCATCCCGTATGATGACAATTTTGAATATCAGAATCATATGAGAACTTTCCACGTGGAGGAAATCAGTAGTAACAGTGACACTAGTGATAGCACTGGCGACAGTCATAAGGTGTTAATGGAAAAACACAAAAGGAGTCTGAGAGTAAATGCAAATTCATTATCGTGGGCGGGGTCAAATCCGCCATCTTCAACATTTGGATCAGATGTAAGTACAGTTAACTACTGGTGTTTTAAGCACAAGTCTCTTTATTTAAATATTTGAAACAAATTAAGATACGAAAGAATTAACTAAACACATTGGAATATATTCATGTATTTTTGCAGAAAAAATTAATGATGACCTATTATCGCTGTCAATAGGTAAATGCATGTGAATCGTGAAATTAGACTGCCTCATTTTGATTTAATGCGAGTAATTTTTTTTTAATCTGCTATTTTTGGTTTTTGCATTTTCTATAATTTCAAGGTATTGTTTATATATATATATATATATATATATATATATATATATATATATATATATATATATATATATATATATATATATATATATATATATTACATTTTGTTGATACTTTGCATGATAAATTTTTAATATAACTGTTCGAAGTTTTAAAAATTACTTTTGAAAACAACTAAGTTTTAATTTACATTTTAGTTTGCACAATATATCATTTAACTATATAAACCTTTTTAACACTTTGGAACTGATTAAATGGCTAAATGACGAAACGGCAAATAATGAATATTTTCCACATATATGCAGTATTTAACTAATAAAGACTGTTTTTTGGTTGTCTCTTTTCAGATCATAGTCCCGGAGGAACAGGTCACAAAAGAGAAGCCAGAAATTACTGTTTATTTCTGACACGCCTTGTGCAATATATCATATAATTAACAATTCAGATGGCAATGGCAACATATTGCTGATATTTGCTGGGAACACTGCATCTGATTATCAAATAGTTTTATTATTGAAAATCATGTAATACTTCGTGGAATATTCATAAAATATCAAAAATATGTTAGAAATAAAAAAGAATATACATGAAACTTCTTGAAATTATAACTTAAGCGAGAGAATATCCGCAAGTAACGTACGAGTATAAGCAGAAATTTTAACAAGGATTCAATTTTGTAAGTTTTAGTGAGGGTTTAAGATCGCTTTTATGGAATATATATCGCTAACAATTCATTTCAATGGTTTCCGTTATCTTTCTAGGCATCATAAAATCATCATGAAATTACTTCTCGCTAAAATTTGCTTTGGTTAAAATTTCAACGTGTACAGTATTTAAAATGTTGCGTACTTTACTGTGGAATCAGTTGTTTTAAGACAACATATCTTGTTAAAGAAAGCTTTAATTTGGTAGTTTTTGACTGGGAGGCTGGCCGGTTAAGAGATTACCCTCCCCCTCCCCCCCCCCCCAAAAAAAAAACATTGTTATTGTTGTTTGTTTGATTTTAATGGCGCGTAAAAAGTAGTGCATATTTTTCTTGAAAATAATATATGCAGACAAAACAAGCCTTGAAATTTCGATGTACATGTATCGGTTTGAGTGTAATACAGAGAGAGCATTAACAAACAGAAAAAAAATTCAATGGTAAACATTATTTATGCATAAACAATTTAGAAATTCAAGAATTGGAATAAATAAGACCCGAATACGAGCGAAAGAAAGTTCCTGAATGCAAAGTCTGACTGTGATTAAAAAACAAAAAATGCAAAAAGAGAAGAAAAAATATGACGTAATTTATTGCTCGATTTTAATTTTATTTTTCAAGAGCTGATTGTGTAGCATATCATCATTACAATAACCGAAAAAAAAAAAACAACAACAAAATAAAATAATTCATTTTGTGAAGAGAATGTACATGTAGTTTGCAGTTTATCCAGTTTTCCGTAAAAATATTTTTCTCTACTAATTAAATAAGTACATCTACATGTTAGTATCTTTACCTGTTGGAAAAAAGATCCTCTTTATATATATATATATATATATATATATATATATATATATGTATATATATATATATATATATATATATATATATATATATATATATATATATATATATATGGGGGTGTGGGGGGGGATTCATATATTGAATATGTAAGATTTCAGTTACTTTTAGTGCAATAAAGTATGTTATTATCATGTCACTGTTATAACCTTTTCATCCATGCGCGTGTCTTTCAGGATGATATTGTTTAATACACATTTTATGCTTGCATTTGACATTCCAGTTGGTGCTTCTGGTGCAAGCAGAAATGTCCAATGCAAAAGAACGGAACAATCGTCATATAAACCACCGTATTCAGTTACATTAGGATACGCATACTCTGTATCGCCTTGATGATTTGTTTCAATGCTAACTTCGTAAACATCTCTTCCTGAGCGCGATGTACAATTAATTTGGATTTCATCTCCTTCATTGTAGGATTTCTTGTCGTCTATGGTAACATTGTGCATTGGTGCTAAAAAAGAGAGAATAACTGATTACTTAACAAATCTTATACTATATAATTAAGGACATATACATGTACTCAATTACTTTCATAAATTTGTTTATTACTTGATTACCTTGTATGTTTATTTCACCACCCACTGTCCGTAAACCAGATTCATGTACAAGAGAGCAAGCAAATACTCTACTTGTATAACATAGACTGATATTAATCTTTTCCAAAGATACGTTCAATTTCACTGCCACCATATCCGAATTCTCAAGATGAAAATATGGTACAAAAGGTTGAATAAATTCTGGAAACAATTCAGTTAAATTTTTATGTAATATTCCAACTTTCTTGGAATCAAGGGAAAACTCAAATGTGGACCATGAGACGTTTTGCACAGAGATATTGCAGACAGTAATTCCGATGTACTTTATCCCAGCTAGAAGTATCAGAGTATCACCTTTTTGTGTAGCTAAAAATAAAATTTTATTATTCTTTTTATTTCCATCATCTGCAATGATTTACAATGAATATTTCAATCAATATAAATGTTAAGTTACATTTACAATAAAAAATAAGATAAAGATACTGAAAAAATGGTTTGCTGCTACATTCTTCACAGACTAAACATTAGGTGTTTAAAACAAGAACATCTTTAAATGACACAATTCTAAGATAATTTTAGACAGTTACTTAATTATATAAAAACCATCATGTCGTGAGTTAATATATAATTCCAAATTTAATGTATTTGAATTATGTTAACATAAGGAAAATTGCTACATACAATAGAAAATTTCATTCTATCTTTATTCTAATCTTGCGCACGTACCTTGCTCACTTTGATGAGGCTCTCTGTTACCTGTTTGTAGTGTATTCACTGTCATTGTCGTCATTGTCACATTCTTCTGTACTTGAGCTGTTGGTGTGACCGTATTTGAAGAACCTATATTCTCCACATCTAATGTCTGAGTGACAGTCACTGATGCACTACTTCTTTCTACTGTGCTTGCTTCTACTTTAAATAGAAAATTAATAAAGAGTGTTGACTTTTTAAAAGCAATTGCAAAAAAAAAAAAAAAAAAAAAAAAAAAAAAAAAAAAACTTTTGGGAATGGGAAGCAGATCTATTTTATTTCTGATAGCTTTTCCTGCTCGTGTACCTGAAGAAATTATACCTTTAATATCTGTCGTATCGTTTTGGGAGGATGCAGTATTAATAGATGACATCACGGATTTCAATGTTGACGACATCTCTTTAGATGTAGCCACTGATGATGTTGTTAAATTACCGGTATTTGTAAGTGTGACAGATCCAGTTGAATTTGTAATTTCCATGACGTTAGTTCTGGTTTTTGATGATTCCCCTGAAAAAGTTGTCATTGACGTCGTCGAGTAATTTGTTGATTTGTTTTTATCTACAGTAGATGTTGCTTCTGTACTTGTTGAGATCGTTGCTTCAAATCTCTGCGTCTGTGCTTCAGTGCTTAATTCTGTTGAAGTAATTGTAGACACTGTCGTAACAGATGTTTCACTTGATGAAGGCCTAGTGGATATATCAGTCGATGTTAAATTTGACCCATCGACCGATGAAAAATAAACTGTAGATGTTGTAGTTTCAATATCTTTGTTCGTTGTATTTGGCATATTTGTCATTGACGTTTGCTTCTCTGAACTTGTAATTTCTTCTTCGTTAGATGTTGTTTCTACCATGATAGTTGTTGAGACTGTCGATATATTTGTAGGAGACGATACTGTAGATATTGGTGTTGAATTTGTATCTGACGAATCAGTGTCCCGAAGTGTTACTGTAAATGGAGAAGTTATTGTAGAACTTTCCGAACTCTTTTGTAACTCAGTGCGTGTTGGTTCTGATGTCGACGACTCATCCAATATTTCTGGCGTATTTAATGTTGCGGATGAGTTTTGCGGTGATTGTATAAACACTGTGGTTTGAATGCCCTCTGATGTGGATGTTATTCCTGTAATCGTGTCTGTTGACGTTGATAGTTGAACTTCTGTCGTTGATAACGTTGATGTAAGTGTCTCGGTCATTTCTAGAGTTGTTTGCATAATAGCAGATTTTGTTGTCTCACTTGATGTGGAATCAAAAATCCCTTCAGATAATGAAGTGGTTTTCTCTGTAGAAGGCTTTCTTGTTAGCAACAATGCTGGATTTGATGTTGATGTATGGATTTTTTCTAGAGTAGTAGTTATTCCAGTCATATATGATGTTGAGGTCTCTACTGTTGATGGTTTTTCTGTTGATTCAATGGTTGTTTCCATTACGGAAGTTGCTGTTGTCTCAATAGATGAGGAATTATAGATCTCTGTAGAGGATGATGTTGATATATCTGTCGCAGTCTGTGTTGAAAGTACTGATGTCGGATTAGTTAGAGTATTAGTAGTTTCAAGACTTGTTTCATTAGCGGCTGATGTTGTTGCCGCACTTGGTGTTGAACTTGCAATTCCTGTTGTTGATGGAATGAATTGTTCTGTAGCAGTCTCCGTAGACATTTGCAATGTTTGATTTGTTATCGTGTCTACATATGGTGTTTCTGTGGAAGACCTTTGTGTACTTGACACTAAGGTCCCTGTAGATGATTCAGAAGAACTAAAAACATTTGTTGTAATGTGAGTCAACGGTTCTGTTGGACTTACTGATTGTTCTGTGATTTCTGTGGCATTTATGGTTTCAAAAGTGGCAGATCCAATGGTTGTTGATACATTTGATAATTCCATTGTAAAATTTGATTGATCGGTAGATGTAAAATTTACAGATGTTGATTGTGTAGTTAAAGTTATTGATGTTTCTGTGGAAGAACTTTCTGTACTGGACTCTAAAATAGCTGTGGAAGAATCAGAGGAATTAAAAAAGAACGTTGTACTTCCCGTCAACGCTTTGGTAGCACTTGTTGATTGTTCTATGGATTTAGTGGCATTTAAGGTGATAGATTCCAAGGCAGTTGAGGATGTATTTGATAATTCGACTGTAAAATTTGATTGGTCAGAAGATGTAAAGTTTACAATTGTTGATTGTGTAGTTAAAGTTGTTGATGTTTCTGTAGAACTTTCTGTACTGGACTCTAAAATTCCTGTGGAAGAATCAGAGGAATTAAACGTTGTACTTTGCGTCATGGCTTCGGTAGCACTTGTTGATTGTTCTATGGGTTTAGTGGCATTTAAGGTGGTGGATTCCAAGGCTGTTGTGGATGCATTTGATAATTCGACTGTAAAATTTGATTGGGCAGTAGTTATAAGGTTTACAAATGTTGTGTGTGTAGATGAAGTTTTTGATGTTTCTGTAGAGGAACTTTCTGTACTTGTCCCTAAAAACCCGGTATAGGAGTGGGATGAACTAAAAACATTCGCTGTACTTTGCATCAGTGGTACAGTGGTACTTGTTGATTGTTCTACGGTTTTAGTGTCATTTGTGGTATCAAAAGTCGTAGTTTCCAAGGCTGTTGTGGATGCATTTGAGAATTCGGTTGTAAAAATTGTTTGGTCGGTAGATGTACGATTTACAAATGCTGATTGTGTAGTTAAAGGTATTGATATTTCCGTGGAAGAACGTTCTGTACTTGTCTCTAAATTACCACTGTAGGAATCGGACGAGCTAAAAACATTCGTTGTATTTTGCGTCGGTACAGTTGTACTTGTTGATTGTTCTACGGGTTCGGTAACATTTTTGGATTCAAAAGTGGTAGACTCCAATGCTGTTGTGGATGCATTTGAGAATTCGGTTGTGAAATTGGATTGATCGGCTGTTGTACGGCTTGTAGATGTTGATTGTGTAGTTGAAAGTGTTGATGTTGACTGTGTGGATTGAACATAAGGATAACTCTTTTCATTAAATGTTTTTGTTTCTACATAAGAAACTTTAAAAGAGTTAAGATCAATTTGTATTGCTGAACTACTTTGTTGATAAGAACTTCCATTAACTATGGAATCTTCGATTATTGTGACGGTCAGAATTTTCTCGGCGGTAAAAACCATTTCAAAGAAGACTACAACACTTCCATTTCTGCAAAACAAATAAATTAAATTAAAAAAAAATAATTCAACATGCAGCATCTTTGCAAATAAAATTTAATGTTCATCAAACTACCAGTAATCTGCTGTTATACATGATCGATTCTGGAGATTTTTGGCACTTACTTTAGTTCCTTAACATTGCATTCTCTATACGCCTGCGAGACATTTGTTCCTTGTATTATATTCTTCATCTAAACAATTATACAATATTCGTATTTGAAGAGATAAAATCAGTTGTAAAATAAATCAGATCAAGATAGAAACAAAAAAATGTAACTATTAATTAGTATCTATGTTTAAATCAATATTCATCCAACATGTTTGAATTAACCCACCTCAGAGCAGAATATTGCGCTGAAGTTTTTAAATTCTTTGGAGTTCGGATCTTTAAACTGTTCCACATAGGACTGATTAACGGTCATGGTACTGTCGGCAACATCTGTATAAAAAGAATATGAATTATTCAACATGTATGAAATTAGTACAAGCGATCTATAATATATCTATATGGTCCTTTATTTCTCAACACACACTCACAGTATGTTTTAAACGTTGTTTCTTCATCTGAAATAAAACAAAAATAAATGTTATTCCCTTGCAACATTTTTTTTTTTATCTAATTAAGCCATGATTTTTTTTAAAAAAAATTCTAAATTTTAAAATTGTCAGCAAACAGTAGAATAAAGATTGATTAACCTTGTACAATAATGAACACAATGACGGGAGTAACCACTAGGCATATCAAAGCAATGCCCCCGAGAATATAAAAGACAGTCTTGCGCAGTATGTTTGTTTCTGGGTCGTAGAAACTTGTGGAATCTCGGTCACTCTCCGGTTGAAACTCTCTAGTTTGTAAAGGATACTTTGTATTCAAACGTAGACTTGCCTAGGTAGATGTATAAGTAGAAGAAAGATTTGATAAAATTTAAACACTTCAAGCAATATGTATATATATTTATATATATATAATCCGTTTTAATTAAAGGAGCTATAGCCTGTTTAATATTTCATTTTACATGTTTACTCCTTTGTATCAATGATTGAGACGTCACAGTATATGGTTTTTGCGTTAAAAGTGATGGTCAAATAAAGTAGATTCACATATGAAACAGTAAAACATGTGACTAAAACAATCTCCCATTTGCTTGTGGTTGGATCTGCTTTTTATCCAGCTCGTGGTTGTGTTTTCTATCCCCTCGCCAAGGCTGGGGGATAAAAAAAAAACACCACTTGTCATATTCAACCAATACCATGGGATATCCTGCATATATTACTCATATTACCCATAATCATATACTGTAATATATCATTTTCCATTGCTCTCTTTAATAAACATGTACGACAAATATATTGAAATAAAACAATAATGTTTTACGATTTTTTTTTCATCTTATTTGAAAAGAAGTTTATAAACACTAGTTAATGAACTAGTTACTTCATATGTACTTACTCGGAAGGACTGGCGGTCTAAATAATTTCTCTTGAAGGTACCCCCCAGAATCTTATCCATCCATTCTCCGGATTCTGCAAACGTCTCTCCGTGCCAGCCATTCTGACTTCCAAACTCATCAAAGTGGAACGATCCCCCAGCAGGATCAAAGAACACGCTCTCTCCAATGTCCCTTTTTGATGACTTCCCGAGATAGGTGTCTTTCCCAAAATTAACTTCACTTTCCGATTCAGAGTCATTATTGTTGTCCTGTTCCTTCGGAGATCCGAAACCCCTCCCCTCTCTTGAGATTCGCTCAGAATTCCTAGGTATTGTTTGAGATTCGACAATCGATTCTGGTATTGTCCATATTTTGCTTTTATCGTCTGTCCTACAAACTTCGTAACGGCTACTTTTCGGTATCTTTGAAGGATAAAACCATTCCCGTGACATTGTAATTAGAAAACTGTCAAAATAAAGGAATTAAATATCGAATTTTGACCGGTTCTTTATAACAATCGATATCAAAAAGTTGAATAATAAACAATCGATCATGTACGGAAGTACACTTGTTGTGTTAGCAAAGACTCAAAGATTTAAATGCAATGCAATGGCGATAGTTATGCAATGCATTCAAATAATGAGAACTTTAAATATCTTCTTCTTTTTTTTTTTGAAGATAGTTCCGAATCGTAGGGCAAAATGATTTGATTGCTTGTAAATTCATACATGAAACTTTGAGTCAATAGAAATATAAAGACACAGATTTAAAGACCCCTTTATACATCTGATTTAATACTTGTATTTGATAGAAACTCCTCTATCATAAGAATGGCTAAAAAAATCTATAGCTAATCCGTTGTATTGAATAACTCAAAGACTTCTTTTTTTATTACACAGCAAGAATTCACCCACGACCTTCCGATCACGGAGCAAGCGCTCTACCCGAAATAAAACGCACCACAGAGTCTGTCACATCTGATTCATATTTGGATGTTTTACCGACTGTAGACGATAAGGGTCAACTTGCAATTAAAGTCCATGACAAACGGGATGACTTCAGCTTTTCCACAGTCAATTTTCCTTATTTTTGTAGTAATAGGTATTTCACAACCACCTGCTATTGTCTTTATATATATATATATATATATATATATATATATATATATATATATATATATATATATATATATATATATATATATATATATATATATATATATATATATATATATATATAAAGAAACAAGGGAAAGCGATATAAAGTCCTATAGCTTATCATTGAAACGGTGAAGATAGCGGACAGTGATCGATCTCAAAAATCTATAAATAATTTTGTGAAGAGGGCATAAAAAGGACACCCGAAAAAAAAAACAGAGGTGGTATCGGATGTCTAGGAGGAGTAAGCATGCCGCAGAAGGATAAAACGTACGCTCAACTAGGACCTTAGGTCACCGGCTCAGTTCACAACTATCAAACCTGTTTACTCCGCGACAAAATATAGTGCATTGCAACCGTAAAGTGAAAATAGAATAAATCGCACTACTGTGAAGCCTTTACAGTGTAAAACAACAAACAGAAAATCTATTTTTGTCAAAGGAATAATCATCTGATATGAGGAAAGATACAGGGGGAGCAACATTGACTGCAATATATTATAAAATATAAGTTATACAGCAATGGATTACGTTGGGGACCTGTGGTCTCCCTAATGATATTATTATTCCATGTAAGGCAACAGTATTTATTTAAAACAGTACCTAACCTCTGATCTCCTTATTAATATATCAGGGTAGGCGACCTCCTGTCTCTGCATTCGCAGATCTAACAGGCAGGGGGAGGAGGTACATTGTAGGTCTTGGCCCCCCACCCCGCTCGGACTCTTCACTTTTCTTAAAGAAAATGGAATAATTATTTGGTAATAAATTATATTAGGTGCCCTTTGGTCTCCCTTTTGAGGTCATACCTCAATAGGCGACCTTATTAGTTTAACACTCTAGTAAACCTCTGGTTAATATTAATCTTACAGAGTAGATGTATGCCCAGTCTTGCAAGGATGGGGGGCTGAAGTTCTCCTCCCCTTTCCCTGGAATTTACACTTATCAAATTCATAAACGAATCAAAACTACTAGTATATTTTCCAAAATAATAAACTTAAAAAACATGGACCCATTGTCAATTGCTTGTGGGATACATATACTGTATATGAAGGAAAAGTGTGTCTAATGTCATCCCTCATCCAATTACATAAATTTAGAGAATTAATTTGGAGAAATTGTGAAATTGTTTGCTTGTAAAAAAAAATCAGGGTTTCAATTTTTGTTTGGAGTGAATTTGAAAAATAATTCTTCACATGCCACATTTTTTAAATTGTCTTCTTATAACTTCAAGTGACCTCATTTTCCTAATAATGAACAATGTAAGATTACCTCTGGTCTACTGAATCATATACCACTTCGTCTGACCTCTGATATCCTTATTGATGTACAATATAAGACAAACTCATGTTTCCATATTCTTTATGTAGGGAGCAGAGGAAACATAAAGTTTATATGAATAGGGAGACCATAGGTCCCCTTATATTGTACATCATTAGGAGGACCAAAGATCACATTGTATTGTACATCAAAAGAAAGACAAGAGGTCCCCTTATATCCTACATCTATAGGGAGACCAGAGGACACCTTATATTGTACATAATTAGGGGGACCAGAGGTCACCTTATATCCAACATTAATAGGGAGACCAGAGGTCCCTCATATCCTACATCTTTAGGGAGACAAGAGGAAACCTTGTATTGTACATTAATAGGGAAACCAGGGATCATTTGTACATCAACAGGGAGACCAAAGGTCCCCTTATATCCTACATCAGCAGGGAGACCAGAGGACACTTTATATATTACATCAATAGGGAGACCAGAGGTCCCCTATATCCTACATCAACAGGGAGACCAGAGGTCCCCTTATATCCTACATCCATAGGGAGACCAGAGGACACCTTGTATTGTACATTAATAGGGAAACCAGGGATCATTTGTACATCAACAGGTAGACCAAAGGTCCCCTTTTATCCTACATCAGTAGGGAGATCAGAGGACACTTTATATATTACATCAATAGGGAGACCAGAGATCACCTTATATTGTACATTAGTAGGGAGACCACAGGTCCCCTTATACCCTACATCAGTAGGGAGGCCAGAAGACACCCTATATTGTACATCAATAGGGAAACCAGAGATCACTTATATTGTACATTAATAGGGAGACCAAAGGTCCCCTTATATCATCATTAGTTGGGAGACCAGAGGACACCTTATATTGTAAATCAATATGGAAACCAGAGGACATCTATTTTACATCAAGAGGGAGACCAGAAGTCACCTTATATTGTACATTAGTTGGGAGACCAGAAGTCACATTATATTGTACATGAATACGGAGACCTGGGGTCCCCTTATTTTGTTAATCATTGGGGAGACCATATTTTACATAAAAGTGTTAATGAATACGGAGATTAGAGGTCATCTTATGGTGTACATTATTCAGAGACCAGAGGTCACATAAAGTTGTGTATGATTATGTAGACCAGAGAACATCTTATATTGTTCATTATTTGCAGACCACATAAGGCTGTATATAATATGAATATGGAGACCAGAGGTCCTCATATGGTGTACTTCATTAGGGTGACCAGAGGTCCCCTTATATTGTACATCCTTGGGAGACCAGAAGTCACCTTATATTTTACATAAATAGGGAAATCAAAGGTCACCTAATATTGTACATCAATAGGGAGATCAGGGGTCACCTTATATTGTACATCAATAGGGAGACTAGAGGTCACCTTATATCGTACATAAATACGGAGACCAGAGGACACCTTATAGTGTACATCATAAGGGATTCCAAAGGTCACTTTAAATTATACATCAATAGGGAGACCAGAGGTCACCTAATATTATACATCAATAGGGAGACCAGGGGCCACCCAATATTGTACATAAATACGGAAACCAGAGGACACCCAATACTGTACATAAATACGGAGGCCAGAGGACACCTTATAGTGTACATCATAAGGGATTCCAAAGGTCACTTTAAATTGTACATCAATAGGGAGACCAGAGGTTACCTAATATTATATATCAATAGGGAGACCAGGGGTCACCCAATATTGTACATCAATAGGGAGACCAGAGGTCACCTTATGTTGTATATCAGTAGGCTTATGTTGTACTTCATTGTGGAGACCAAAGGTAACCTTATGTTGATCATTAGAGAGACCAGAGGTCACATAGAGTTTATACAAATGCCAAGACCAGAGGTCCTCTTATATAAAACATAATTAGGGAGACAATGCAGAGGTCACGTAAAGTTGTGAATGAATACGGAGACCAGAGGTCTCCATATATTGTACATTACAGTGTTATAGGGAGACCAGATATCACAAAAAGTTTATATGGATGCAGAGATCAGGCTTCTACGATACTATACTCTGTTTAACTAAAAGACAACTCAAAAACAAAATAAAGGCAATAATTATGGAAATAAGCTTCTGAACATTTAATCATGTGAAGAAAAAATTACTTCTTTCACTATATAATTTCTCATATCTTACATAAACAAAGATTGCAACAGTTCTTTTATATCATAACACAAATAAAGATTATGAAATATGTGGCGATAACGAACAGTATTCGAGCTCAAAAGTCCATTAAACATTACAAAATAGGAGCGGAGCAAACACGGACCTCCTAAATATCAGAGGTGGGATCAGGTGCAATGGAGGAGTGGGCATCCCATGCCGACCGGTCACACCCGCCGTGTGCTCCTTATCATGTTCGGGAAAAACGGAAAAATCCGTGGACAACTCAGTGTGTGAATAATGGGCTAACAATCAGTTTGAAAAAAGTCAGTCAGCATTTGACTTAATTGCCAACAAGGTCATTGTATCGACCATAGAACTTACGAAATGATAACTTTAAACGAGACAGATGATATTCTTGCTTCATCAACTTCTTTGTCAATAACGTACCTCGTCTTAAAAATTGTTCATACGTAGAACATGCTCTTCCGTATTGCATCAACTGAGAGATATCATTATGGAGACCAGAGATCAACTTATAAAGTACATTAATAGGGAAACAAGATGTTCAATATAAAGTAATCTCTGGTCTCCCTATTCATGTACAATATACAATATTAGGTGATCTCTGGTCTCCCTAATTATGTACAAAATAAGGTGTCCACTGGTCTCCCTATTGATGTACAATATAAGGTGACCTCTAGTCCCCCTAATTATGTACAATATAAGGTGACCTCTGGTCTCCCTATCGATGTACAAAGTAAGTTACCTCTGGTCTCCCTAATTCTTTACAATATAAGGTGTCCTCTGGTCTCCGTATTTATGTACAATATAAGGTGACCTCTAGTCTCCCTATTGATGTAC